ATAGAAAGTAATTAAATTACAATTACTTTTCGCCGAAAGTAATTAATTACACTAACAAATTACCAAGAAAAGTAATCAAATTATAGTAATTGAATTACTACTCAAGTATGGCACCCGCGACATTTACTGCCCTTTGCAACAGTGACGTGTTGGAGCTCGGGCAGTCCAAGCCATGGCCAGAAGTCTTGGGCATGCTGACCAAGGGCAAGACCAAGAACATGGATGCAGGACCCCTGATGGAGTACTTCCAGCCTCTGCTGGAATGGCTACGCAGCTATAACAAGGGAAAGCCTGTCGGATGGAAAAGCGACGACTCCACCTCTTGCCCTCTGCCAATGCCCCCTTGCAGAAAGAAACACAAAAATTAAACGGAATGGAACCCGACCACAGACCAGACAGCTGCTGACCCGACCACTTACGGCATGAGAATAAAATTCCACTTGGCTTTAAACCGAGGCTACTGTAGACTCTCGCTGCACATGTGCAAGTACAGATTCCTATGGACTGGACATTCCATTGATCTCTATGCTGGCCACATTTTAATGCGGAACGTTTCATGTGGCTGGCTCTTAGCCACTTTCTGCAATGCATTTCTGTAACAGGAGAGTCGCACGAGTGCCGAGTACACGCTCAGCTGGAACTTATGTCCTCCTTTCGCTGATAGAACACAAATCACAGCTGAATGCTAATGCAGCAATTGCTCCCAATCTGCGTCCCACGCTGGCCTCTGCCAGCTGACATAAAAAAAAACAAATCCAGCATTATGGTCTTGTTGTCTAGGTGCTGGATGTGCACATTCACACGTATGGTGGAAGAGTGTGTAGGAGGCAAGAGTGAAGAGAACAAGCACATGTTTTGAAGAAAATGGGGAGATACGAAATAGAAGGGTCAAAGATGGGGTGTGCGACTGCAAGGAACGCAAACCTTGTGTTCCATTCATCCCGGGACACTAGCTTTGGGCAGGGTTTTCTTTCAGAGACGTTAGGCATGACAGTGTGTGCGTCGCTGAGGCAGAAAATGCGTACCAAGTTCGTCTGCAGACATAACTGCGGAACACACAATATTTTTGTCACCACTGGCTATGCCATGCTATGCAGGAAAGGAGCAAAATTTGTGTAATCAATTTCATTGCTGTTTCACAAAGCAACTAGACAATGTAAAAAAAAAAGACATGAGAAACGAAATAGATTGAAGGTGGAACAAAGTTAGCCAGGTTTAGATTACTTATCCCCGTAAAAACACGGTGCTCACGCATTTCGGCAGAAGACATTTTCAATAGCTAGCAATAGTTAAAGGGCCACTCCAGTCAAAAACGAAACCAAAATAAATGACCAGTATCACTTTAGTGGCACAAAGTATGATCATGGCCGAAATATTGTCAAAGTAAAGCCACATATTACACTAAAATGAATTTTAAAGATACAACCAGCTGATCTTTAGAGAGCAGCAAGTGGGTCAGCTTTTAGTCAAGGAACACTGGCTCAGTGCCCTTGCAACATCACACCAAGGTGGAGCTGTGGTTGATTGATTCTACTGCTGTTACGTTCCAACCCCGGCAAGGCCGCGCTCCATCTAGGGCACACTTACAGGGACGGTTTGCAACACCATCGCTCGGCAGAGACCCTCTCGAAGACCCGGAACCAAGGCTTTCGAACATAAGTTGAAGAAACCACCATCAACGAGTCGTTGTCTTCCTCTTTCTCCAACATCAAGAGAAGCTGCTGCTGCGGCGACATAAACCTCCGGGTCAATAGGAGTGGCTGTTGGACTTCATCTTTATCGAAGCCAGCAGCCATCACCAATCACACAAGGGTCCCGCCGGTGACGGAACACTGTCACATCACCATGGCTATAAAAGGGGGACCCGTGGACACGCGCGGCGGAGATGGAATGGGACCTACCATCGAACGCAACCATCATCTCATGTCCCAATAAACCACCGTCACCATATAGCCCCAACTCGATATCCAGCCTGTCCGTCCCCCAGCCCTTACTGCTCTTTAGAGAGCAGCAAAAGGGTCAGCCTTTAGTCAAGGAACACTGGCGCAGCACCCTTGCAACGTCACACCAAGGTGGAGCTGCGGCTGATTGGTTCTGCCGCATACCACAGCACCTCTGTGACATCACGTCACGGCCGTACAAGTGATGATCGGTTTTGCTATCCCTCTAGCAGATAGTTTCGGTTTTGCCGTAGACGCCCAAAACAAAACTATGCACAATATTAAGAAAAATATTATACTTCGTGATTGAGGGACATTGTTTTATCTTAGAACAGACGTAGTCCCAAGTTAAAAAATATTGACCAGAATAGACCGATCTCACCAAACGTTCGGCACATGCGTGAAGCCGCTATAACTTTAGTTCTCAGAAGGCAGGCGACGGTGCTCGAGACAGCTCGTGCCTTCTTGTACTCTGCAGGCGCAGACCTCCAGCGAGGTTCCTGCATGCGCAGAAAGTCTAAAGTTCCCTCGATGCATTGCGGCAGTGGTGGCGTAGTCAAACTGGCTGATAAGATCGGTCTATTGCCCTTGAAAGGATGGCCCAATAAATAAAGTAGCATGCCATCCATTCCCACCCACCTACCTTCCTCAACGAGTGCACTGTCATAAAATACTTCCTTCATGGAGCAACATCAGACTGCACTAACCAGTGCGAGTTGTAAGCTTCATACATTTTTTTAATGACAGCGTACGGGCCAGCTATAGAGACTGAATCATCTAATGCTGTGAAGCCTGCAAAGCCTTATTGAATGCTAGATATGGTTTGTGGGGCTATCTATCTCTCCTAGAGCACTGCACGGGCCTACTTTTTGAGGCCCGGCCCAGGCCCGCTGACTCTCAGTCTTACCCGACCCGAACCTGACCCGACGGGATGGCTACCTGATCTGGCCCAACCTGGGCCCGGCCCAGTAAGAGACCAAGGTATGCCTCATCTCTTCAATTCAAAGCTGCCATTGGGGGCTGTTGGTGTATCTGATTCGTTTAGCCCAGGGGTCGGCGACCCACGGCCCGCGGGGCAGTTTTATGTGGCCCCCGGCCCGACTCCAGAAAAGGAGCCCCCCCCCTCCCTTTGCAGCTTACTCACAGACACAAGAAGCACTCGGAAGTTAGGACCACAAATGGTGTTAGAGAGGAACGTGGAACGCTTCCAATTAGCATCGTCCGGCATCCCCATACTAATTGGGCAGAGAACGCCTTCACTTCATTTTTTGCTTTTTTTTTGTCCCTCCTCCTCCTCTCTCTCTCTCTCTCTCTCTCTCCTCCTCCCCCTCCTCCCCCCCCTCCCCCTCCTCCTCCTCCTCCTCCTCCTCCTCCTCCTCCTCCTTCCTTCCTTCCTCCCTCCCTCCCTCCCTCCCTCCCTCCCTCCCTCCCTCCCTCCCCCCCCCCCCCCCCCCCCCCCCCCCCGTCTTTCCGGCTTGCCGTCCGGCCCCCTCCGTGTCAATTTCGTGACGACTCAGCCCGCCGCAGCAAAAGGTTGCCGACCACTGGTTTAGCATAATTGGCATGAAAGACTCTGTCAAGACGTTTTGTGTTGGCAAAAAAATGTTAATGCCAACATGGAGATCATAATGGCGCTCGTTCAAAAGATGAAGAAAAGTTTCGAGACATTATAGAACATATGCAGGTCACAGATTCTATGCCGTACACTATGAACTAAAGTCACGATAAATTAAAAATTTGAAACATCTGTGTGTTTCCGGGCTCGAACCAGACCCGGGCTTGGACACGATCTGTGCTACTTGGCCCAGGCCCAACCTGGGTCCAGAAACAACCTGCGCTACCCGGTCCGGGCTTGGCTTGGCTTGGGCTTTTGGTTTGGCTTGGCCCTGTGCAGAGCTCTAATCTATCTACCAAAATAGGTTCCTTACCCCATCTGACCGGTCGTCATTTCGAGCCTACAGTGTGCCTGTCGTGGCTCAGTTTGTCTGCAAGGGAAGCTTCTACATAGCGCGTCAGAAAAGTTTCAAGATAAAAGATGTCCAGGGATGTCCATGCTATCAAAAATGAGAATGGAACAGGTCTCAAAAACAGGAGGGAGAACATTACAACGAATAGGTCTACAACATTGTAATAGCGTGTCATGATCATTAGCGAGCGAATATATGGGGACAAGGTGGAGAAAATAAACTCTCAGTGGGACACAAAAAAACAAAACAAAAAAACAAACATGGCAAATAGCTGAGCAGTTGTGTCAAGGTCGTGCCTGAAGCCTCCCTGCGATGCACTGTCCATGTTACTTGGCCGCACCAAGAATGTGTGTATGGGAACTTGGAGAAGAAGGTCAACGAGCGAGGGGAGTGCCAGAAATTAGGAACTCGGTCAAAACCCAGAAAGCTCAACCACACCTCATGCACAAGTCGTTGGAAATTCGCAGGAAATGACATATACAAAACCGCCCAATCAAATATCTTGTATGCGACTTTCGCTCGTTCTATCGTAAACTTAGACAGTTTGAATGCCCCACAGCCTATTTTTCTGTTTTCGGGTGCACTGTTTCAATAAATTGCTGAAACCCTGACATTAACCTCAAATTTAGATCATTTTTTGTTGAACCTCATTATGCAGTGGCTCGTTTAGCATAACAGACACAATTATCTGGCTTATAGCGCCGCTATATGGTAAAGGTGGCTAAGGAGACGCACCCGGGTGGCGCCAAGAGCTCATAAACAAGGCCCTGACAGACAGACAGACGTGGTTGAAGCGGGCCCACGACATTCTGAATAGCAAAGTAATACCAGGTCATTCTTTGAAACATATTAATCTGTTTGTCACTGTGGGTGCCAACATTTCCACATACTGCCACAACAAAACACATTTTAAAAAGGAATATGCAGCATTCCAAAAACTCCAGAGAAATATGTTCTATGCACATCCGTTGAGACAGGAGCTGTGGTCCATAATAAAAATAGCTACGTAGGAATACTCGTCATTTCTGCGCTTAGGATTCTTTGGATGGAAGTAACTTGATTGGGTGTGAATGATGGTTTCTTGACAAAGACGTTACCAAGGAACAATTGCGGCTTTAATTTACTTATACTAGTCTGTCAGTTGGTAAGCTCTATGAGGGCGTCGACAACATTGCCTTGGTGCTCACGCAGCTTGAGTTCTGCAAGGTGGCGAGGGATTTCCATCTCTTGAACCTGAAATGCAATACAGTTATTAATTCAACAAGTAAATTTCAGTCTGTATTAATTACAAAAGTGGCGGACCATGCCTTTGCACTGGAACAGGATCACGTCATTCTTGTAATTATTGTGACTAGCAACATATCAAGGTGCCTCGGACAGTTAGAAAATCCTATAAAATGGTAAAAGAGCACTAAAAAGACGAAGGACACAAGGAAGACATGTAGATACACAGTGCTATGTATCTCTACATCTCTTTCTTCTGTGCTTTGTCCTTTTAACTCTGTTTTACCATTTCATTTACCAACTAGCCCAACTTATTCCTCTTTTTGAGCCCTGACTTTCTGCTTTTTCCTTTTTTGTTTTAGAAGCCACATAAAAACACACAACTTATATTGTAAAACCTAACTTAAATTTGAATCACCTACACTTCACCGGGGCATAAAACACTGCAGATACTGTTTTTCTTTGGTATTGAGCTTGATTGAAGGCTCGCTGATGCACACTGCTTCGTTTTCTTCTATGACCATGGTTTCGAGAATCTCTTGTGCATACTGGTTCTTGTGTTTTGCAATGACGGTGACGCTGCTGAACTCTGCACTGCATTCACAGTTGCGGCAATGGGCTGGTAGATGACCTGCTGTTGTGCCTTTTAGAGATGCTGCGTGTTCCCTTGTCCTGTCATTAATACATCTGCCGGTTTGGCCAATGTAACACTTACCACACTATAAGGGAATATGATATACAACCCCCTTTTCACATGGGGCATATCGTGCCTTCTGAGAGAGTTGCAGGTTTTCACGTGGTTGGTGTACTGGTGGCTGTGGTTGTTGTACTGTCACTTGTGCAGTGGACTGCGTAAATTACTGGTCGATCTTGCTCTTGAGGCAGAAAATATTGAAGAGAACCACACTCGCAAAGGCTCACAAATGCACAGTTGCCGTGTTGCCTACTCCATACCTCGCCATAACTGCCGGTTGTACTACACTGTACGATCGTAACCGCACGACCGCACAGCGTCCATTTGCAATCCACGGCCCCGTCACGTTCTTGCGCGTGCGCAGGCATTCGCCAAATCTTTGCCAAACTTTCTTTCAGAAGTTTTGGCATGTGCCGAACTTTGCCGAATCTCAACTTTGGCAGATTCGGTCCATCACTAAAGGAAAGTTGCACTCGACATCGAAGTTTCACTAACACAACAAATTAGACGAAATCAAGTCCCCAGGACAAAACAAAACTGAAAACAGCAAGTCTGCTTGCGACGACATTGGTGCTATGCAACGTACGCTCGGTTCAGTTAGCAGCCCGGTGAATGCAGTCAATTGGCCCAACCAAACGACTCCAGATTCTCCGAGATGCTCGGATGAAGACGGACGGCGCTGTGGTTATTAAAACGGCTCCGCAAAGGAGGCGCAACTTAGGCTAAAGTTGTTCGACGCATTGCTGTCTATCTACGAGGATCTTGGTGGAAATAATTTCTTAAATTCATTGCTATGGTAGGAACGTTCGCACCTGTATCTGGAACTGAACGTTTGACCCACATTGCTACTACACCGAGGAACCGAATTAGTGGAAATAAAACACAAACATTTATTGCTGTTAGGCCGACGTGCAAACAGCTCATTCTGCCAAGCAGAAATCTATTCTGTGAACTTCTTTCCATTCCATCTTGGGCTCCTCTCTCCCAGATATTGGGGCTGTGGCGCCGCATTTACTACGTTGCCTAACACAGTCCGGCGAGGTGCACTGGACAAACACGAATGCTTTAACTCGACTACTCACCGAGTCCTAGGATGCCCTGCGAGCTAACCAAATCGGAAACACTCCTGCAGCTTATCCTAGTCCAACTAGTCCACGCATTAACGCAGTTGCGGATCACAATTTGCCAACCGTGCCTGACGTTCTGCTCACTGTTCGTGCAAATTCAGCCGGACTTCAGTTGTCGGTTCGTTGAGTTTCCAGCTGGCGAGCCCGTCCGATCAGTTGGAAAAGCGAGCGGTGAAAATGAGCTGGCAGTAGGGAACTAGAGAACTTCTAAGATAAAGTTGCAAACGACGAGAATAAATGGATGGAAGTGGCTGTACAGTCAATATGAAAAGGGAACAGTACAACCGATCAACGGCTTAAAATGTGCTCCAGTGTTGCAAAAACTCTGGTATCGAGAGTGACTGGCTCAATCCTACTTCCTCAGCTGGGGAGTGCTCCTGCAGAAAGTTATTGCTTGGCAATCATGATTTTTTTTTTTCAAGGCATGGGTAACAAAGCATTTTCTTTTGTATTTCATAGAAAATATACTACTTTCAGTTGTATACATTGTAGTTACCCTTACTGGATGCTGCACAAAAATTTTGTTATGCCTTACGGCTGTTTCTGGCTGGATAGAGAAGACCTCTAGCCAGTTTTCATGAAAATAGAAATTTATTCCTAGAAAACTATGTTTTTCCTTCAAAAAAAAGGTGTATGTAAGGATCGACAAGGGCTCCGCGGGTGGGCCGCAAGCACCAGGGAGATTAGGCTGGGAAGAAAGCGTTGGTGTAAACACTTTCCCTGGTGGGCGACCTCGACAGACAAGCGTACTTTGCGATGCGAGGTTTGGAACGCGCGTTTTCTGCCGAGAGAGTCTGAGCGTACATTCCGGGCCCGGAAAATAAAGTTATAATACCACCACCACCAGAACGCAGTGGCTCTGGCCGGCGCGGTTTACACGGCGCGTTTACATCGGTTTAGTCTTTCTCGCCCAAGTGTGGGGGGGGGGTCACGGCATAACGGCAACGTCAGACCGCATATGGCGGAATGAATTACGGGATGGCTCACTTTGTCTGAGCTATCCACACTGGGGTCGGTTGTTCACTCTGCGAGAAATGGTTTTGCTTGCATCCGAACCAGCCCGACCTTTGACTGCGAGATGTACGCAGACCGTGGGTTCCCACCCGGGAGTATAAGCAATTGCCACGTGGCGAGAAAGTGAGCCGATTGGTTGGCAGCGGGAAACGCCTGTCTCATGACGCATCGAGGATTCGCCGGTCCACTAAAAGGGGACAAACCAACGAATGACTTTGATAGGAAACTCAACAAGTGAGTTTAGTTCGGGCTGAGGCTTGAGAGCTGTCACTCCGTAATCGAGTCAGCTTGTGGGATTCCGAGGAACTTTTGTCCCTGTAATCGGGGCGTAATCCCAGGAGCCAGCCAACTCCCGAGCTTGGATAGACTAACATCCGACCACCTCTTTCCCAACCCCGTGCAGGGAAAGTTATCATTCTGCAGTACTATTTCTCTCTGTATTTCTATTCACTACAAAGTATTAAATTGTTTATTGAAAGTAATTCCCAAGTTCAACCGAATTAGTCGTTGACGGCCAAGGGAAGCAACTTTGTCTAAACGCAAGACCCGCCCAGCTTCCCACAACGAAGTCCGTCACCCCATCCGGACCTGGCAACCCGGACGGCGCAAGGAGACCGAGCGAAAGAACCCGTACTGTGTATTAAAAGGTAACTGCAAAGAAAAAAAAGTTTCTTTTGTACAGCCTAATTGGAACAAACATGTCACAAAACAAATTTTCCGCGCAGCGGCCAAGAAGCTGACGCTTCAATTCAGGGTCCATATTGTGTGCAGTTCGCACAGAACACAGAAGCTACAAAAGGTTGCGGTATGCACACAAGATTAGGATGCCGCAAACTTTTTTCGAATCGAAGTTTCGATGATTGAATCAAGCGGTTTGAAAGGTTCGAAAGATTTCGATTTTTGGAATTGTCTACATCGTAAAATTCGACACAAGTCGAATTTTAGAAATTTTTAAGCTAAGAAATTCGACGCTTTTCGAACCGTCGAACTTATTACGCTAAAAAATTCAATCTTTTTCGAACTTTAGAACTTATTGCGCTGCAAAGTTCGATGCTTGTCGAACTTCCGAACTTGACTGACCAAAAAATTCAATGAATTTCGAACTTAGTTATCGAGAGAATTCAAAACGTTTCGAACTTTCGATTCCTGAAAAGTCAGAAGTTCGACGAACTTCGAACTTTTAGGGTAAAAGTTCGACGTTCGTCGAACTTCGAAAGATTAGCGGACGGTTTCATTTGAATTCAAGTAGTGTAGGAAATCGCGTACCGCCGCCGATTCGCCATTTCCCACGTGGTCCGTCAACAAACCGAGTCCAGCCTGGTTCTTTCACGGGAGCGGGATTCCGCTCCCCGTTTATTCGTACAATAAAACACAACCCTACAAAACACTCAATCTAAACTACAAATACAAGCTACATTACACAATTATTTACAAATGCACGTTCAGGCTAAAGCTAAACACAAAGAAGGCCTTAGGCCTCGCGTCCCGCGATATCCTAGATCCGGTCGCCACCCACTTGCCTGCCTGCGTCTCGGTCTCGTCCGGAGTTCTTAGAGGCCTCTCGCCCCCTGCCCCACCGAGTATATCTATCGATGGGCGAGGAGGTTTCTCCTCGCCTGCCACGGGGGCGCCTGCAGCGCCCTCCAGTGGCTAGGAGAGAAAGCGGCGCGTCGGGAGCCGAATTCGAGATCCCGATCGACCCCGCGGCAACACGACCATGTGATCGTGTCGCGGCCAAGATTGGCCGAATGGTTTGATGGGCGCCCTCGTGAATTCACGGTGCGCCATACTCCCCTCTCCTAAAAATCGAAGTACGCCGGAATTCAGACGTACGGCTAGGCTGCTGGGAACACCGTCGCTTGGTTTGGCCTGGAGACCCCCCACACGCACACACACACCGCTGGTCCCATGGGTCGTCCTCACTGAGGTCCATCAGTTCGCCCGAGACCTGGGGTGCGCGGCCACCACACACCTCGCAGTAGACTGTGTCGACTTGGGCTTGGCGGCGGCCTTTGGGGCAACGGGGTCCTTGAGCAGTGTGCCTAACCACCATGAGACTGGCCCCTCCACAGAGTGGTGCACCGGAGAGGGACTGTGGTTGCGACCCAGCTGCGACCGCACTCCCGGAACGATGCGGGGCTGGAAGTCCAGTGTCACTGAGAACTGCACCCCGG